CACATCTACAACTGTAATTAAAAGGATTTCCTGTAAGGCACATTTGGATAAACTAAAAGAGATCTAAAACTACATTACATGATTATTTTAAGGTTAAAATTTAATTAATACTTTTAGCTAAAAAATTATCTAAAGCTTAAAGCATACCTGTTCATTGGTTTGGGTTACTTACTAAATGCCTCTCTTACCCACACTGTCCTGAGAGTCAGGAGCATTCTGTGCACACAACAGACAATCTGCCTTCCAGACTGGAGCTTATAATCCATCAGAGGAAGACACTGGCCCCACCCAAAGGCAGGCATCTGCTATCTATTATCAAATCTTACATTAAACCTGATAGGGACCTGGAAAGGAATGATCATCAAAGTTGGGCTTTGTCTTTTGGGGTCCTACTTAGTCAAATAATTTTTAAAGTTTCTTTGATTTTGAAAGTTTTAGATTTGCTGAAGCTGAACTATCACCACATTTCTCAGGTTCAGCTCTTGGTTGCTTGTTTTCCTTTGTCACTGAGAGACCCTTTCTACCCCAAGACCGACCATAGATGGGATTTTTTATTTCTCTCTCTCTCTCTCTCTCTCTCTCTCTCTCTCTCTCTCTCTCTCTCTCTCTCTTATTTTCCTGGAAGACATTTTCTTCCAAGTATATTAGAGTTTTCTTTTCATATTTAAAAATGCTATACCTTTGGAACTGACTTCACGCATGATGTGAGATAGGGATTCTATTTCTTTTACCCTACCATGGCTAAATTTTTATCATATAAGGACCCACTGAGTAGTACATCTTTCCCTGCGTGGTATTAAAGACCCGCTATCAAATACCACGATCCCATACCTGTGAGGACTAAGTTCCGAAGTTCACATCAAAGGCTTTTAGCCTAGTTGCCCATCCCTAGGATTTTTACTTTCATTATATAAACTACTGAACATTTATCACACTATCTGAGATAATCAGGACATATCTTCTGTCTTGGTTATAAATTCTTAAGAGATCAGTAGCTATGACTCATTCATCTTTTTGTCACATGTATATGTGAGTATATGTATGTATGCTTACACATGTGTAGAAGCATGTATGTGAGTGTGAGTGCATATGGGGGCCTTAGGTTGACATCACAATCACTATCCACTTTAGTTATTAAGAAAAAATCTCTCTCCGAACCCAGAGCTCTCCAGTTCCACTTTGTCTAGGTAGCCAGCTTACACCGGGCCCTCATCTTTGTCCCCTGAGTGCTGGCATTACAAGTGACTGGTATACCTGCTTGGTTTTCCTGTGGGATTTAGGCATCCAACTATGGCCTGTATGCTTGTATGATAAGTGTATGATAAAGAGCCATCTTCTCAGCCCCACACAATTTTTATATTTCTCACAGTATCTAATCCTGTATTTCTAGACCACAAGCTTCTCTGTTAACTAAAGGATGAGTTGAGAAGCAATGCTGAGTGTAGAAGCAGAGCCACAGATACACCATACTTCTGAGTTACTGCCTAAGCAGACTTCATGTGTTTATTATTATTACTGCATCTTTCCATCTTCTGTACTCTTAATGCTAGGGCTCACAGGGCCTTGCATCTTAGAGAGGAGATGCCCCTCCTGATGTTACTTTACTGTAGAAATAGCAAACTTCTCCCTCACCGAGAGTATGGGCTTTTCATATGTAAGTGAACCAACAAAAGCATCTTCCCTGCTTATCCACCTTTGTCTCAGATAGATCAGCCCATCTATTCCTGCCTTTCCCACACCAGGACCAAATTCTAGTCAACTAGACAGCCTCGGTGTTTACAGTCTACTGAGTTCACTTACAACAGAGTGCTCACCATACCTTGCTTTGTTTTTCCTATTGAAAAGACAACAGAGCTTGTTCCCATGTTTTCTTCCTCTATTTCTTGACTAAACTTGATGATTCCCTATGTGACTCCTGCATTCAGAGACAATTTCTCCTAATTTCCACCATTTTATTTACATGTATTAATAGGCCTGATTAAGCATAGCCCAGGTATAGTTTAGAATAACACATACTAAACTTAGTCATTGTTTTCAGTAACATGAAATGATTTAAACAGCAAGCAAACACAAAAGTAGCCTATTAGCTGCCCTATTCCCCCAACCCCAGGCTTCTTCATTCTAGCAGCTGGTAATGAGCAAGTTTATTCAGTGAGAAACACAACAATACTTTGTTTTCTGTATTGCTGGTGATCAATCCCAGGGACCCCCACACACTAAGCAAGTGCTACCATTGAGCCACACACCCAAGTCCATCAGATGGCTTGCTATTTCTGTATCTCCTAAAAATCAGGTTAACAAGAGTTTTGGGGTGTGTGTGTGTGTGTGTGTCTGTGTGTGTGTGTGTATTTATGAAGAAATTGTTCTCTTAAGAACTGAAAGTTAAGTTCAGAACTGTGATAATCCTTAAGCCTCATCATATTACAGTCTGTGCTTTCCACAGCTGACAGGATGAACTCTTGAACCATGTGTACTGAGTCTCCATTTAGTATTTCAAAGAACAAAGTATTTGGAGGAGTTACTCACAACGTGGTGCACCATACAGAGTTACACAGCTCACTACACTAAGCAGTCAGATGCGTACTCTGAAATGGGATCAAAACTAATCTTTCCCAAGGACAAACAAAAGTAGCACTCATCCAATTTTCTTTGCTTTCAATAAAAATAATTGCATCTGGTTCACCTTTAAGAACATTCCAGTCAGAAACAGCACTAGATCTATCATATCATCGTGGAGAGATCTCTTATATACTGGCCCTAAATGCATTAACAACCCTCCAGTAGTTCAAAGAGCTTCACAGCTATTATACCAACAGTAATGTAGTGGAGAGCGGAGAGACAGCTCAGCATTTGGAGACCAGTCTGTCTCAGGCACTCACTAGTATTTTTCAATGTATGTGGGGGGGGGGTGGAGGGGGAGATGATTCCTCTGGGTCTCACGAAACAGAAATGGAGAGATTTAGCTTGCTTGCCATATAGAATTAGAAGTCTTAAATCCTATATAAGTTCATAGCATTGCCATCAAGATCATTACTTATTCTATACATTATGTATATAAATACCATTAATGCTGATTGAATGACACTTTAATGTTATAATTCCAAGGATTTGCAAAAATAGCAGACTTTGGTCTAATATTGGTTAACTTTGGCTTTATATCAAAATGAAAATTAAAGTTTGCTTTATTAAGAAAAATTCATTTGGAAGAAAATTTAGGTTTTATTTGTACTTTTGTGTGATTTTTAGCATTTAAAAATGGGTATTTATTTCCTACATACTTCCTGGCCCACATCCTAACTGTTGGGATTACAGGTATGTGCCACCATGCCCAGTGGGAAATATCAGATCATTTATTTATTTACTTATTTATGTATGTATTTAGTTAGGTCTGTGTGGTATGGGTGGTGTACGTACATGTATGGGAGTGCACATGCCTATGTGCATACATGAAGAAGCCACAAGTTGGATATCTTCCTCTGTAGTCTCTACTCTAATCCTTTAAAACTGAGCCTTTCATTGAATTAGAAGCTTGGCTTTTCTGCTAGACTGGCTGGTCGGTGAGTTTCCAAAATCTACTTGTCTCTGCCCACAATGCTGAGGCTAAAGGTTTGCATGGCTGCACTCAGGTTTTGTTTCTGCTCTTCAATTAATAACTTCAGAATAAATTCAGGAAGAGCAAATCAAGATATATTCATATAAACACTGACATTACAAAGTACATGAGAAGGGGAAAGAGAAGACAAACCAACTACAAACTTAACACTGCCTCCCCTAGCACTACCATAAGGCTCTGCCTATGGCCAATTGCTATTATAATATCCATAGGCAAAATCTCTGGAAGATATACTGCTTCTCTTTCAGACAGCAGGGGAAACACCAGAAGTTGGGATAGGAGGCCTTCTTCTTTTGACAGTTCTTGTTCATTTTAGATAGTTACATTACTAATAAAAAAAAAATAGGCTCCTTAGTAAAGACTTTAAAAACATACTAAGGATGAGATGGCTGAGGTCTCTCAGGTCAAATATCTCCAAATACATGTCATCCATCCCCTGACCCTTTCCAGTGTTGTTCCTTGGTTGTTTTCTAGATGGATAACATTTTCTGTGAGCTTCTGCAGTGTAAATTTTTTTGTAAAACTGGATTTCCTTAGAGCTAAATCCTGTATACCTGGCTGGGAATTCAAACTCACCCCTCAAACTACCACAACAAGCACTCTTACCCACTGGACCATCTCCTCAGTTTCAGTAATTATTATTATTATTTAAAAATGGGGCCAGCACTACAGGCTGCTGGGAAGATAACAGGTTTGAATAGGGTTTCTGGAACCTCACCTATGCCAGTATTCTTCTAGATCTTAAACTGGGTAGTAATAGCCCACTGCTGTTCATTTTATTTTTATGACTGATAACTCCACATATATGTCATAATTTTACATTGAATATATAAAATTTTTATGATAATTAAAAAATTAAATAATAAGATAGCCAAATCTCCTTGCTCTACATGTGTGGTACATGCAAGCTAAAACAACAATATTGTCTGCCTCCAAAGACCTCGGTAATGGCCACTATCACTTCCTCCTATGGTAGACAGTGGTCATAAGCAGGCTTCCTTCCACATCTGCCTGATTTTAAAACTCTCTCCATCCAAGACTATGAGAATTCACAAGCAGGGGCTGGTGAGATGGCTCAGTGGTTAAGAGCACTGACTGCTCTTCCAGAGGCCATGAGTTCAAATCCCAGCAACCACATGGTGGCTCACAACCATCTGTAATGTTATCTGATACCCTGTTGTGGGGTGTCTGAAGACAGCTACAGTGTACTTACATATAATAAATAAATTAAAAAAAAAAAAAGAATTCACAAGCAATTGTGAGCAGGCGACTGGAGCTGCAAGTTCAATGTGGTTGAAAGTCATCCCACTACACTGTGCTTAGGGATTTGAGTGGGGAACTCTAGGATCTCCTGTTTGCAACAATAATCCTTTTCAAACACAATTACCTGTTAAGTTGGAAGCATCAGCAGGACTCAGTTGTAACCAATGGCGGGCATCAGAGTCAGCCACAGCATCTGTGGGCGTGCTCAGGTCCGGGTCCTCCTCACAGGTCTGCCACGGGCTCACGGCTAGCTCTGCTTCATTGCTGTAGCCCACAGCTGTGTCACTGCCAGTACTTTCACCTGGCACACAGAGCAACCAAAGTTTGAGACCGAAGCTATATGAAGATAACATTCAAAATTATCTCTATGTAAGTAACACTTGCCCAGATGACAGCATTTGCTCAGGGGTTTGGGTGGAACATGAAGAACATAGCTGGGGTTCAGTAGTGTCCCTGATAGATACTTGCTTAACAAAACTAAATCTTCCAAGTATAGGACGTTAAAAGGCTTTATGAAGCAGTACTCTGATCATTGTTTTTGCTCAATTATTCCATGTGCCGGAAAGTTACACCAAGTCCTAGTTCCCTTTAAGATCCATCATGAGATGTGAGAAACAAGAGGAGTATGGTAGTAACTGATTTTACAGCACTGCATGTTTGTTTACTCTGCTATTTAAAGCCCAACGTTTAAACTTAAACCAGGCTGCATCATGCAAGCAGATTCTGGAATGAAGTGTTCTACCACTATAACTCTGCAGCACTGAAACTTTTCTCCTTTAAACACTTTAAATTTGTCACAATGTGATTATGCAGAGATTTTAAGACTTATGTAGTTATTTATTTAAATGGATACAGGATAAGCCTAAATAGCCCTGCTGCTTGAAGTTGCCTGATCCTCCCTCCCCTTCTACTGCTGATGGCCCCTCAGCTGTGCCATCTCTACTGCTGTCCTCTATCCACTTGCAAAAAACTGAGAGTTGTCTCACTAAGCGGAGGAGTCATCAGTTGGGTCTCACAGAGGATTCTCTATAGAGCTACAAGCATTAGAGGGGGAAGGCGGTGCAGGAGAAGAGCCACATTACACACCAGCAAGGGCCAGCCTGGGTATGCAGGAGCTGCCACTCTGCTACACTGACAAGAAGGAGACCTGAGGACAGGAGAACCCAGCCCAGACTTTGTAGCATGTGATAACATCCCAGGATTCCAGGGAGATTTTGTTTTCATGCACTTGCCCACTGGCTTCCATGTACCTCTGAAGCTTTGGGTTCCTTCCCTGTGGGGACTTTGTGGGAAAGGTAGCTTTTCCTCAGGTGTCTCTTTGCTCCCCTAAGTCCCTCTTGTTCTTCTTACCTGGATAAAGGCCCGGGGATAGAGAAGGCCTCTCAGGTATAGGTAACTAGTGGAAACTGTTCTGCCAGCTGGATTAACTACATAATTTCTAAGGTCCCGATCAAAAATATTCTCCGCAGTCAGCTCTTCTCCACTGATAACAACTTTACTTAGAAAAGAAGAGAAAACTAAAACAGGCCTACTCTGGAGCAGACATGCGCAAACCCCACTTCCTGAAACTTACTCTTCTGTCTCTCCCTGCATCTTCCGTGTGTCTGCTGTAAATCATCCTTCAGATCCAGCTCAGCAGGACTGCTGCTCCTTCGAACCAAGATCTTCAGACAAAAAGAAATGCTGCTTTCATTACCAGAAAGTTGAAACTTTTACCAGACTGTTATGTTCCTAGCCTATTTTTAAATTAAAGAAGCAATAATAGTAAGAAAACACTGAATACTATCTTCCTTTTGAAGGGTTTGCTCACAGGCTAATATAATTAAGTTACACATTTCTCAAGACCCAAAACTCTAATTCATGTTCTCTCCTTGGCCAACTAACACAGCTGAGTGGACACACTAAGAAGGGATGTCAAATCCTGCACACGTGGTTTATTTTGAAGTTCTAGTTGCTTCTCTAATCAAATGCACATACACACAGTTCTCCAGGAGGCCTGAGTGCCCATGAATGTTTGGGTAGAAAAAGTACACACCCCACCCAGACTTTCAAAGGGCTGCTCAGGGCCTTCCTATTGATGCACTACAGAACTTTCTGACCACCGGTAAATACTGGACCTTGTATTAAACACAAAGGACTAAAAAATCAGGAGGCAACCAGTATTCTCTAGCAATTTACAGTTTGCTTGGAAAGACAAAACATTCACAAACTACACAAAATAAATAATAGTGCATATAAGCAAAATACAGAAATATATTCTGTATGAAAAGTATGTAAAATAAAGTATTACCTTAACTGGCTGACAGTTACAGGAAAACGGTTCAAGAAGGCTATTTACTTTTTTTTAAAAAAAAATAATGCCTTCTTTACAAAAATCAAACAAAACCACACCAGATATACTTTAGGAATAGTGTACCAGGTACAGCATGCCATCTAAAATACAGAAATGGGACTCTGAAACGAAGGTTTTATAGTATACTTGCTCAAAAGTAAACTGTACAACATGAGATCTGGCAGTAAATTCTACTTCATGCTGCACCCCTCCATCTATGTAGAACAACTGTATTTTATATACAAAACAAGTACAACCTTAAGTGACTTCATGATTATTTGGACCTCTAATCAATCTAAGTTGGAAAAACTTTAACTACCAGCAATAAATTCATTGCTGTTGTATACTTTATGCTTGGTTATCATAGCAGAGGGACATTCTCTTAGAAATCTTACTGTTATTCCTTCATGTTCTTGTGTCACATGTCCTTTACTCTCTTGAACAGACTTGGTTTCTGAAGCGCTCAAATTCTGTGAATGTTCTACCCTTTGACCTAGAGATAGGAGTAAGAATAATAAAATGAATGTTTCAGAAGGTAAAATAGGAGACAGACAAGCAGGCAGGCAGGCAGGCTGGCAGAGGCAGAAACAGATAGATAAACCATTGTATCCAAATGTCATAGGATATATAACGGTGCTGAATTACGGGTCTGCACTAGCAAGGGTCCAATCTACACAGAGTCCTGACCTACAGCCCATAGTTAGCTTCAATTGGAGCAGATGGAAAGCTGTTCACTCTGGCTCCTAGTTCCACTTAGTATACTATGTTGGACAGGAGCATGCAGCGTATCATTCTTGGAGACAGCACTGGACAAAAGGGCTGCCTGGGTTGGCCTGTGAAGCAACAGGAAGGGAACACCAGGATGGCTCTGTGTTGCCTGAATACCAAGACTAGCATAAGAAAGCAGAAACAGGGTCAATGATTTAAAAAGGAATACCACCACAGAGCCTGTAAAGATTTAAGGAAAGATCATAAGTTCTTCTGATGAATAATATGGAGCCAATAAATTTGAAAGAAATTAACAAATAAAACCAGTTCCTAGAAAAACATCAAAACCAAATTAAGAAAATCAAAGTAGTCTTATAGTCCTTTAATTTAAATTTTTACACAGCAAATATTGCATGTTTATCTTATATAACATGCTGCTTTTGAAATCTGCATACATAAATCATTGTAATCCACATATGTGTTACCTCATACATACATGTGGTCATGGAACTTAAAAATTTCCTCTTGGCTAGGCATGGTGATGCATGCTAATAATCTAGCACCCAGAGTCTAGGGAGTCAGCTGCATGTTCCAGGCTAGCCTGGGCTAATGGAATCCCTTAGACAAGCAATGCTGTCTGAGCTCTTCAGGAAGGAAGTACACTACACTGGACACTAGATGCTTTACTTCTCTCAGGTGAACTTTGTTTAAACTTGGAAAGATTAAAAAACTTTCTTAGAGGAAAGCCCCAGGTAACTGGTGCATTCTCCCAAATATTTAAAGCAATTTTTTTCTTTGTTTGTTTCTCCTGATAGTCCAAAATTAAACTTGGGGCTTCCTGTATGCTAGGCAAGTGTTCTTCCACCACGTATATACGCATATCCCTAATCAGCCACACAAAGCCCTTTAAAGAGCAGAAAGTTTTCAGATCACAGATTTCCTCATCCTTATTTTTGCTACAATGTCTTATTTCAGGGGACTTTCTAAGGAAAAAGTTTTCCCTCTCATCTGCTAACTCTGCTATCAGAAGACACAGGAGACCCTGCTGACAAACAAGACAGGTTGTCTTCTGACTGATTCATGGAACTAAAGTGGAATGGCCGGCACATTCACTGACAGTGTACACACTGAGATTTGTTTCTTCACTGGAAGATACACTAGCACTGTCTGCAGCTTCAGGAACAATTGAGTGTCTCCTCGTCCTCCACACCACGTTGTCGTGAAAAGCTAGAGAAACCCTGTGCCGGCTCTGACAGGGCTCCTTTCCACCTCAGTGAGTCTGTGAGCTGCTAATAACCCTTCACACCGCTGGCCAGCTTTCATTCCCATTCCACCCCCTCCAACTCGTCCCACAGCCTAGCCCTCCTGCCTCTCATGCTTTCCTTCTGCCTTGTGCCTTACTAAGTGTCTTTACTCTGGGAACACTCTGTCCTTCCTATTCCAGTCACTTCAGACTCCTCTCTAGTTCCCAGTCACCCCAAACTTGCAGAGTATATTAGAAAAATATATTATATAGCAAGGCAGTTTCACTGCCAGAAGTCACATTCTACAGTCAAATCAAAAAGTAAATAAATACCTGAGCTGGGGAGCTGGCTCAATGGTATAGGGCCTGCTGTGCAAGCTTGAGGACCTGAGCTCTGGTCCCCAAAAGTCATGTAAAAGGCTGGATGAGGCAGCACAGGGCTGTAACCTGGGGCAGGGCAGAGACAAGAGCCTCTTTAGAGCTCACTGGTAAGCTTTCAAACATCAGCAAAACGATTTGCCTCTAAATAAATAAATAGGTTGGAAGTTATCAAGAAAAACTATAACTCAAGTCAACCTTTGGTCTCCAGACATGCACATATACACACTAGCAACATGTACATAACATCCAATTCCTCTCTCCCTCCCTCTCTCCCCCTCCATCCATTTAGAATAAATGTAATAAGCAATACTACCTGCAGCTTACCCCCATCCCAAGACCAAACCTATGGCTTTGTACTAATAACTAAGGACTCAGCCAGCCATAGGACAATTAATCCCTGTAGTTGGGAGGCAGAAGTAGGAGGGACCTGAAAGTTCGAGGCTAGCCTATTCAACAGATGAGTCCCTGACCTGCGACAGAAAAAGAGGGAGACCCTGTCCTCAAAATTAATCAACCAGTTAAACAAACAGCTGAAGCTTCCACATACCTTGAGAAGAGTCTGAGTACAAGCGCTCAGTGATGTCGGAGGTGCTGCTGCTCCGGGGCACCTGCTGCTGGCCTACCACAAGATAGTCACAGTCGGCTGCAGCTGTGCTCTCTGCCTGTTGGAACTCCTCCACTTCTGAAAGCATTAACACAAAACACACTGGACTGAGGGTGGAAAGGATACAAAACATTTCACACTTAACTCATTTAAAACACTAAGTTTTAGATGTTTTTTAGAAACCAGACTGTAAGGTAATTTGCATGAACATCATCAAACTTCCTGTACTTATTATCAGTAACAATCCACTCCATGAATAAGTTTTTCTTAATTCTAGTTAACCTTTTGTTTTCCAGGTGAAGGAAGGGAGCAAGAGGGAAAAATGCAAAAATGGTTGATAGCGCTAAGTCATTTGAAATTTCCCAGCAGGCCAGCCTCAGCCATGTAGGAAATGCAGGAAATGATAAATAATACTTGAGGAGAGCACAGGTGGTCCCCCCAACACTAAACTCAGAGGAAAGGAAACAGAAAGTCCAACTGTACTACTCCTTCTAATAGATAGTGCACAACTGTGCAAAATAAAGTGCTACTTAACACTCTTACTACAACGTACAAAGCTGAACTAGTCTCTTAGCACAAAAATGATTTACATAGTATAAAGTGGAAAACCAAAGATGAGCACTTAATATTAGATAATCTTGCCAATACTTTTGACATCCTCTATTCCCTTGGAGAATGGGTCCTCTTCTAGCCATTTCTAAAGTGCACAATTCATTTGAATCTTTTAAGACCAGTCATGGCACCCTACCCCTTCCCTCTAGACTCACAGCCCCAGGACTGTATCATCTTCTGCCTAGGTCATCTGAGTAGTCTGCTAACTAGTCACTGGCTCCTTCTGTTTGCTTTTCTCTACATGGCTGCCAGAGAGGCCCCTCTAAAATGAAGGCATGACCGCCTGCCATCAATCAACTCTCTGTTCACCTGCACTGCCTCAATCCTACGCACAAACCATTCCCTACTCATCATGCAGGATTCCCACTCTCCGTAGTCTCAGCAACACTTGGTATCTGCTGCTCTCTTCCTCCTGCCCTTCACTCTCCTCTGCTAATCTCAGCCCTGTCCCCTGCCCATCATCCCCATGCTGCACCAACCATGTATACATCTTGCTCTGCATCCTGAGCCACTGCTCAGCTCCTCGCTACACTCCAAACTCACTGATGAGGTCATAAAACTTCATATCCCCATACCAAAATGAAAAAAATTTAAAAAATGAAATGAAATGAAAAAAAAAAAAGAAAAAAAAAAGTCAAAGTTTTACTACTTTTTAAAAATGGAGTTCTCAAACTCTGCCTGTATTATCTAAACTGACTATGTCTCCTGGTTGCTCAGCTGATATGGAGATTCACTGCCAATTGGTGATGCTCACCCCAGGTGAAGTCTTCCCACCTGGATATAAGCCACAGTAAAGACTCACTCCAACTGAGGAGATGTGTGGAAACAGAATGATTCTGGGTTTAATACATGTGATTTCCATAAATGATTGCTACTCTGCTTTTTTTCTACCCAAATGAAAATTCTATTTTCTACTACACTAGTACACTACAAGGCTTCAAAACTATGCACTCTGTGTGAGTCTTCATTATGAATCAAAGTTCCAACTAGACCAGAGTTTAAAGATGGATGGTGATGGGAAGCTGAGCACAGAAAAAATGATAGGCTAAGATGGCATGGAGGGACAGCCTCATCTTTCCCAAGTCATCTTTGCCTTCACTTAGGCATTTTTCCATAGAAGTCACACAAGGCATATCTACACATTTTCATCTACATATACATTCCAAAGCAAAGACCAGGCTCTTTTCATAGGTCTGCTAGGATAGGATCCGGTCCCTAAACATTATGGGACCAGGCCTTCCCTTTATTCTCTTACTCTATCTCACAAAATGGTGAAATGACAATACTCTATTTGTTACTCCTGTATCAGTAGAGGGAGCCCAAGAGCTTCCAAACTTCCTGAAAAAATAATCAGCCAAAAATAATTGTGGACAGAGGGAAGAGTGTTTCCCCTACCCCCCTCTGAAGCCTGATGCCAAACACTGGTGGATGCCAGTTTCTGAGTTCTGAGCAGAAGTAAATAAGAACTGAGCCAACTCTGGCAGCATCTTTGTAAAGATAAAGAACATCGCCATCTGGTGGGATGCAGCACAGTCACAGCACCGTGGCTTCCAAATTAGAGTGTCCCCACTGGTCCTCAGCACAGCAGACGGAGGACACAGAGCCTGCTACCACCAGCTGTCTGCCTTCCCAACAGGCAGGCCTAATACATCTTTTAAGGCTTTGTTTTTGCAAAACTGTTAAGAGGGACTTCTCAGATGGAGAAAATCCAAGCCTGTAGAAAGAACTGGAAATGGCAGGAATGGAAGAATGGCAAGAGAAGTGGAAGGAAAGGAACAGTCATATTCCTTGCTGTGTGTGTTACACTGTATTCAGTAAGAGCTCCATACAATGGACAAGAGAATGATGCTCTAACACCTTTTCCTTCCTAATGGTTCTCTGACTCCCTCTGCTGGCATGTTGCTGTTGAAGAAAGACCATGTTGGGCTAAGACTGCTCACATTCTACTGTGCCCTGTTGAGTTGCCTTTTTGTAACTAATGAAACTGATTTCACTACTGATGTAAAATATAAAGACATAGGGTTGCCTATCAAACAAAAAAAAGGCATCTGAGTTACAAAACAACTGTGCATCCTGTTTTGAATGTCACACAATTTCTGTTTAAATCACTTTGAAGAGCTGAATTCTGCCTCAGATTCTAAGTTCATTTATTCTCTGTGAAGTCTAATGACACCCAATCAAAAGCACTAACTTTCCTGTCTCTTGAGGATGTAGTTACTCAACACCATTCCTAACCCACTGCTTTCCAAAGCTCCACTGAAACCATCAGCAAAATGATCATAAGGATTCATTTCTTTTACCCCCACTGAGAAGAGTCGGCATGACTGAAGTAAATGTGTATGTTCTTCAGCTAACTTCTATTTTCTCCAGATGTCTGTCTACTTTTCATTCACTCTTTAATTACAGACTTCCTTATTTCATCTTATTAAATAAGCAAAATTTCTTATGTTCCATTTATCCCTCATGCAAGGCTATACAAGCACAATTAGAATGTAAGGTCCTAGTTTTAAAAATATCATTCATGATGCCAGCTTAGCCTTATAAAAGCACAGGAGATGGTTTCCATTTAACACCCTTGATGTCCACAAAGTCATGCTTACTGAGAGTAAGTTAGTCCAGGTCCTAACAAGAAGCACTTCCATGGAGCTTATGGAAAGACAGAGAAGCAGCTAAGCAAGACTTCCCCTTAGGTGCCATAAATTGGGATAAAGGAAAACAGTCAATCTGCTAGCTATAATCATTACAATATTCCCAAAAGAAAAATGAATAGTCTACCTTTGCATAGCATGCAAGTGCTACAGACTAATAAATGTCCCAACAGAGAAGACAGTAACACTGCAAGACAACTGGGAGGGACTGTTTTCATGAACAAGCGAGGGGATTCCCCAGCTGCCACACCTACTTCCCAGGTGCACAGATTTCTTGATACTCATATTAATGAAAGCAGGTGATTTTGACTCTCCCCAAATTCAAATGCCACTGGCTTCCCACACCTCCAGATCTACTACCATTGCTTCTATTATTACAATTTTGGTGGGTGGACTCACACAGATTAGAAACCAAAACAAGGACTGCTGCTGCCATAATAAAAACAAAACTAGCAGCCACTGACACAGTAAAACTAAAAGAAAAGCAAAAAATACTCAACTTGTAGCCAGAAAGGGGAATTTAAAGAACCTGCTTATGATTTCTTATTTATTTAGTTCAGCTTAGCAGGATATACCAATCCACTCAAAGGTACATCAGAACACAAACCCCACTGCAAATTAGCAGCTAGGAAGAACGGATACTCCTAGAACTGGTAAACACTTCTCTCAGCCTAGTCTACTGACAGGACAGTCACAAAGGACAATGGCATCATACTAACTAATAAAGGACACCTGGAGTCAGATGAGAAGGCACTCATTACAGTAGCTGTCACATCAAATGGCAGTAGCAGTTTGTCCTTAAAGTCACCCTGCTATAAAAGCAGTAAAGACGGCAAAGAAGGAAACACAGACCTGCTCCAGCCTGCTCCACTTTACAGGGCCATTTGCCCCATCTGCACGATAGATCTTTGAGGTTTGACCATCTTCTGGTGTAGACTGGTTTCAGTGAGGGTACTGAGTAGGATCTCTGGCTTCTACCTACTAGATGCCAATAGCAACATCTTACCATGACAACCAAAAATGTCTCCAGATGTTGCCAAATCATTCCTAGTTGAGAGTCATTGCAGAAAGTTACTCAACTTCTGCTGGTGCCATATACACACATATAAGAACCGAGAATTTGAGTAAATGAAAATATAACTCTGAATAGGATCAAAACTTTTACAAATGAAGATATTAACAGGAAGGATTTTTTTTTCTGAGAATATATTCCAGAAAAACTTGTATATAAAAACAAAAACTTAAATGTAAAACAAACTTAAATGTAAAAGTATGGAAATAAAATAGAGAAAGAAATAAAACTTTTCACATTAAAGATTTCTACTTGCTGTCAATTAGCCAAATACATAGCCAAGTCTTTTTAATGCCTCATTCATCACCACTAAGAGGCATCATTTTCTGGGCAATCTCATCCTCAAGCATTTACTATTCAGCAGCAGCTTACCTGATGGTCACCCCTTCCAGTGCCAGCCAGCCTTACTGTTTTCACATTCAGTGTTTACTATAGAGTTTCTAAGCAACATCCTAGTCCCCACTCTCAGTTAAAAGTAACTCCTTCCCTCATGGTATTTTACTTAAGCTTTCATCTGTTTTGCCAAACTACAATGGCGCTACAGTGTTTGCGCTATAGAAACCAGAAGTACACAATCTCCAGTATTGAAAATGTCTTAATCTATATCAGAATTCAGAACATAAAAGGAACATAAAAACATTTCTCTCTTAATTAAGATCTAGTTCATCTTAAAATCACTGAAAAATATCTCTTTGTAGATTTAATTACTCAACACAGAAAGTAAATTCCCTTTGAGAAGGGACGGGGCAAAACATGAGAAAACTTGTTTTTGGTACTACGATATCCTCCTTTGTAACTGGCACAGGGTGATATAACACACAGTGACACAGTGTGGCACTGATGCGTGGACAGTGTGGGCGAAGTGACATCAGAGCAGGATAACTCATGTATGTATCACTCTCATCATTTGACAAGTTCATTCAAAACACCCTACTCAGGCTATTTCAAGATACACAATAGATTATTATTAACTATTTTCACCTTGCATGCTAGAGGGGAAAAAAACACATAAACTTAATTCAGTTGAATTAACTAAATGAAGTCTAAGAACAAATGTTTTTAAAATTAGCACTGTTTAGTTTTTTTTAATTAAAACCTCAATTATCAGCATGAATCTGATAACTAGCAGGATTATAGAATTTTTTACTACTTCATAGCTACTAAACATAAACTACACAAAAACAACTATCAATGTTTTTTGAAACTTAGCACAAGTGCAACAGACAGCCTAGTGTGACTAGGGGTGGTTGAAGGAAACTCAGCCTTGGGCAAGAGGGAGAAGCCAGGGGATATGGATGGACACACAGACAACAGTACAGTACCTGACAGCCTGTGAGAGCAAGAGGAGTAAGAGAGACCAGGGAAGAGAGCGCTCACGGTATGGAGGAGGAGCGGGACGCTTTTAGTAGCAGGCAAAGCCTCAGAGAGGTGGACACAGTTGCTGATAGACTGGCTTCGCTTAGCTTCCAGGAGAGATAAAGTAACATTATATCATCGTACAACAAGATTGTTTACCACTTCTAAGTTCTTAAGGTGCTGCATTTCCTTTAAACATTTAAAGGAAGCCATTTTAAGCTTTAAAGAAATCAATAAAATGAGAGTAGTTAATCACAGTCTCTAAACACAGCCAACCTTTTAGCCAATCACTGATGACTTAGAATGGTTATGCCATACAAAGAACTAGTTTCATTTAAGAATGCTTCTTTTTGCTGCTGTGTATCAGAATGATGTCTGGATTGCTTGCTTAATCACATCATTATTACATTATCAACACATCTGCTATCTCTTCTAAAGGATACACATACAAAGACCACAGTGAGGAAAGGAAAATCAGGCCCAAAACAAAAATTTTTCTAGTAAGTCGTAAATAATTCAGAAATTGATTTACTGAGAGCTGACTGTATTTAAGAGCTAATCATTTAACATTTAGTGATCTAGATATCCCCCAAAGTTCATAAATATATGACTCAGATAGTTTTATTTGATATCCATAAAACCTATCTTTTTATATTGTATTTCACATTTAGTTGAGCAAAAGTTTCTCAATATGAACTTTTGATTTTCTCATACATTGTTGGTTTAAATAAACATTCAATCAAATAAGCACAGAACGTGCTTTAGATACATAAAACTATCCTTAAAATCCATAGAACTATCAGTGCTATCCTTAAAACTGAAATACAAGTGATTTTTTGCTGTGTTATTAATATTTATGTATCTCTGCTAAACATTAGTAAAACAAAACCATATACATTAGTGGCACATTTGAAAAAACTGAAACAAACTTTTTACTCTACTGTCCCTTCCCCTGTTCCTTACTATCAGCATTTCCAGCGATGAGATTACTTATATAAATCATGACTGCATAAGATAATATGTAAAGGGCAAAACCATGTAAATGTCAAAGTGTAAAAGATTTGTTTATCTCTGTATTCAGCTGACATTTTATTTGAGCACTGTTTAAAACCTTTTCTTTTAGTAACGAAATGGTTGTGCATTTTTCCAAAATAGGTCACCATGCATTTTAGAAATAGTAAAATACTGGCTGTTTTATGTGGCAATTAAGACTCACTTTGAACACTCTGAGTTTGAACATCTGAATTTTCACCATCATTGACACTCAGGGCCAGAGTTGTCTTTCCATGACAGGCCTCTTCAGTTACACTCTGATGTCCTCTCTATAAAATCTATTTCCCTGGTGTCAGCATCAGTGACAGCTTCTTCACCTAGTTGAAATCTGTGAGGTGAATCATTGTGTGAAGATTTTAAATGCTCGCTTAATGACACTGGAGAAACAAAGTTACTTTTGCGTGGCTATCCCATAATAATTACTGCTAGCTGCTACTAATTCCTCCTAAGCACATGGAGAATGGTCTCAGTCAGCTTCTATGCTCACAGAAATGCCTTCTACACACTGACACTACAGGAAAAATACTCTGGGTATTGTTTAAAATAGGAAAATAAAACTGAGTAAGATCACCCATGTGTATTAGTCTTATTAAACAACAAGGTATACAAAAATCTTCAAAGACCATTAATAAGCAACAATGAATTCATAACATTTGTCATTCTTAAAGACATAAAACACAATAGAAAAAAATATATATATACATACATGTATGTGTGTATGTGTATGTATATATATGTGCAGTGTCATGTGGCCCCTCAAATGCCTAGAAGATTGTTAAACAGAACCTGCCTTTCCTGAATGCTTTCTAAAGCATGCTGGTGCTTCCACCATACTGTCGGCTTAAACCATCTGGTGAAAACAAAGATTGGCCATGTCATATGGAACACGTATGCATTTGCTGCTGATCAACATGTACAAATAAAATGTATTGTTTTTGAACTAGTGCTTATACTTGGAATTCAAGGGTGGTGAAGGTAGCATAAGTCTGCACAGCTTGGGAAGGACACTGCCTTTGCCACATGCTTCTGAGCACTTTCCCTCAAGGAACCAGTGACAGCAGGAATAATTAGGATTGAACTGAGACAAGAAATCAGTGGGCCTCCTCAGTACTGCATGGTTTTAGGAATTAAGTTTCTCAGAAATAGAATGAGGGAAAACAACCAGAATAGGTGGTGCAAATAACTAAAAAGATAATTAGCAGCAAATGCTAAGGCATAATAAGGAATGAGGAAGTTACAGTTAGAGAACAACATACTTTGACAAAAAAAAAAAAATGCCAGCAGGATGCTAAACTATCTACATTAGGCTTCTAATGAGCAATGAAAATATATGTTACTTAACAAACATTTATTTTACAGTCTGAAGATCTTGTTTATGCTTTTCTGAAGCTGTTGACTACCAACTCTAATTGCACGGTACTGCTAATGAGAGAAACTATCAAAAACTGAGGTACTGTTGTTTCAATCGTAAATCAGAGCACAAATGGAGAAGAGAATCTTACTGTCCTCATAGTGAACGTCAGCTTCCTTTGTAAAGATTTGTCTCTGGCCTTAGTAAACTGTAAGGAGGCAGTCTGCTGGTCAGCAGGTTCTCCATCAAGTACCAGTGCTAGCCCAAATGGGCTGTAAAAGCAGCATCTATGGCATAGGAAGATCTCTGCTTTCAAAGAAGCAAAAGATGAGAGTGTGTCCATTCATTCCTAAAGCCAAGTGTATCTCCGCGTTTTCGTTGCTGGAACTCTAAAAGGAATACTGCCTCATAACGACATCACCAAGACAAAAAATGTGTTTATCACATTCCCTTTCACAGTGCAGATTTTAGAAATAAAGAATAAAACCTGTGACTTGAGAAATAAATAGAACAGAAAGTTTATAAAATATTGACACAGTTTATCTAATAAAAGGTTTACTGTTTAAATTCTGAATAAAAATTTAAAACACTTCTATAAATTCATTTAAAAATAATTAGATTTGTTTAGTGATAAATATTTACCAGTTGCTTTTTGACGAACAGTATTTCTTGCCTTCTCTACTCCTGGTGCTCCAGATGTGGTGGCACTTCTGAATCTCATTGGCTCAGTCACATCTGGATGGCTACGCCAGCTGAGAGAAAAGGACCTCCCAACAGCAGTCCCTTTTTGGGGCTCTAGGACACAACCTGAAAAAGAGTAAGATTGTTGCTACTCATTTTATTGCCTAGGCTGTTCAGCAAATGGCAAATATGTATAAAATAGCATGTTATCAAGAGTCAAAAAATACCATACATACAATAATTCACCACTAGGAGATTCTCTGCCACAAATTAAGAATTGCTTTCTTGTACTGAAATTTAGGAAACTATGTCAATACCCTAAAAATACTTGCCAAAGTATTTTTAATCTCCAACAGTTTCATAAAAATTGTGTCTGCATAGTATTTACTTCAAATGCAAAAGTGGATATTAATCAAAGAAAGAACAAAGTCATCTGAACTTATGCCACTTCCCATGGTACTTTTTTTTTTTTGATCTTCTCTACTTTTATTTTATTTTTGAGATGATAATATAATTACATCATTTCTTCGTATCTTTTCCTCCCTCCAATGCCTCCCATACACCCACTCATTGCTCTTTTTCAAATTCATGGTCTCTTTTTTCATCAATTGTCCCATGGAACTTTAAAAGCCATTACTTATAAGCCAAAATTTTTGAAGTCCTGATATTAAAATGGTATCCTGGCTTCTGAAGACTCCAACCTAGCTATAAACCCCGTGGAGATCCATGTATACTCAGTCAAATAGGCAAGTTAATGAAAATCTACAAATGATTTAAAATCTTATTTTTGTAAGGTTTCAAGACAATGTGGTCTTCAATTTGACTTCCCTTTCCTCATGGTGTCCTGGTCAAATATTTAAAAGAAAGGTCAAAGCCCCCAAAAGAAATACAGAAGGAAAAAGAATAAGACATTCGGGAGATTTTTTATTTATTTATTTTTGCTCAGAAATAATATAAACAATAGATACAACTTGTGGCTTGTTTTTACATTAGGTTTCCTTGGTAAGTAGTTTCTGTTTTCCCTAGTTTAGTGCTTAGGCACATATTTATATAATGAATATTTAAATTACTTTTTTAAATAAGGCAATATAAATTAAGATGTTTATCATGGTCATTATTTAAATAATTTGTTCATATCTCTCTGGAAAACAGCACCTTTGAAGTTGTTTACTTTCCAATGCTAACTTATCTCTTCATAGGACTGTGTTTATTATACACTAGGTAGGAAAAAAGCACTTTAGGATACAGTGTGTCCCACACATGTAGAAATGTTCATGTGAGTGAGTGTATGAGTGTGTGTATGAGAGTGTGTGTGTGTGTGTGTGTAAACACCTTCAGGATATAGAAAACACTTTTTGAGAAAGTAAGCTGTATTTTGTATCTGAGCTCTTCCCTCTTCAGGAGAGAAAACTCTCCTCTAGACTGAAAAAACACTGTCTTACGTAGCCAGTCTCCTGCAGTCTCCTTGATACTTCCAGGGCCTGGTTCACACAGAAACCTCAGACATGCAAGGGGGAACCTGAAGAGAATAAGGACCTCTAGTCTAGTATGTATTTCTAAAAAGACTCCTGTTTTGCTTCAACTATGGAGAAAAAGTGACCTGTTGCTAAAGCTATGTTAAAACATTACTGCACTGTGCCATTAAAATCTAAACTGGAATTAAGCCATTCTACTGGAAAGCTATGAACATAAGCTACTTTGCTTTGGCTTGCTGCTCGCTTTTACTAACTGGGGCTTTGGCAAGCCATTCTCAGACTGCAATGAATACATGATAAGCCAGTCCCTAGTCCATTTATACGGTTAGCTCCTCACTAGAACTAGTTCACATCTCTCTGTATCCACATCCTTTGTTCTCACAGTGACTCTGGACTTCATTATGTGACTTACTTTGGTAGTAAAACTGAAGACGTTAGACCTTAAAATTTTTCTTCTATAACATTATACTAACAATCATGTGCCAACCTGCTGGATTATGAAACGTGTGTGTAGTCCAGTCATACTCACTGCCTGGCTGACAGCCAGTCAGTTCCTAGAATAAGAGCAAGAGCAGTTCCTAGAATAAGAATAAGTGGCCACACAGCACAGACAGAATCAAATGAAAATGAGAATTAGCAGTGGCAGAGTGCACGGCCCACGTTGTCAATGCATAAAATCATGGTCTAAATAAATGGTTAAGAAACTAGATTTTAGGGTGATTTGTCACATAGCAAAAGCCAACTGATAGAGTCTAAAAAAAGGTTACTAGTGCTAAAACATAATCTACTATCAACATATGTAACTTGGCAAAGGTTTGAAGGAAAGAGGCCTTCTTAGAATCAAGTGAAATTTATTTATCACCCAAGGAAATGTCTGTATTCTGTGATTCTGTTTGATATAACCCTGAGAAGTTCCAGGTCAAATCCAAGGTTGCCCCTCTCCATTTCCCCAGGAAGCCCAAGAGCCTCCATAGAAGGCATTTGGCATTTAACCATACCTATAGCTACTTCCCACTCTGTCCAATTTCTTTATACATTTGCTATGTGCCATACACATTTGAATGAACAAGCTAAGTCTTTACAGTACAAGTGAATTGACAAGTTGACTCAAATGCCACAGTCCTTAGGAACTGTCATAGAGACAAGAGGATGACACTATCACCCGCAGAGACTCCCACTGTTTTACAACTCAAAACTATCACTTTTACTTCCTCAAGTCTTAAAACAGTTTGACCTAGAAACAATAAAGCCAAAATGGCTGCTATCTCAAGCACCTGGAATTTCTCCACACATTCTAGGGAGGCAGCAGCATGCAACTTAGCAGTGTAGCATTTGGGCTGGACTTGCCTAGGCCTGATGTCTGTCTTTACCACTTCTTACCTAGCGACCCTGATTGAGTGGATCACTATATGGTCTTTGTATTTTTTCCTTTCTGTCTATGACACAGTTGTAACTAAAAAAGCCATCATAAGGGTGAAGACTATGTAGAGGGCACTGGTTGATGTCTCTCCTGCTATCAGTACTTCTCTCTCAGTTTTCTTCTCAGTCTCTTTAGTCATCAGTTAAGGATGTAATTGTTAACAAAGTAATAGGAGACACAATCTAATGAGCAGCACTGAAAAAGACAGTATGCAGCTGATTCAGCTCATTATGAACTACGACACACTAATAGCTTCCACACACACATGGGCACTCTCTCACCCGTACCACTGCTCTTACCTTTGCCACGCTGCTTCTTCTCCTTTTGTTCACTTAACTTATCTAGAGGTAGGTTTGTCATTTCAACTCCATACACAGTTCTCGCAAGCACAGCTGTCAAGGAGTCCATGATGTTGGACCACTCAGTGATGAGCTCCTCCCATTCCGTAAGGGATGACAGCACCCTGAGAAAGTCGTCCCACAGCTCCCGAGAGATGTACACACAGAGGTTTGCTCGGATCCAAGCCACGATAAGTGTCTGAAATCAACCAAATTTATGATTTTTAACAAACAAAAAACTAAAATAACACCCTTTTCATTACTTTTGACCAACTGTATCCAGGATTTGAATTAGAGTAACATGAGTTATTTGAGGAAATATTATTATTCTAAAGCCCATGGATAACACTGCTGCTATCAATGAGAAGGCAAAACACCTCTGTCCAGCAACTACTCAGCTTCTAAAGGCAGTTCTTTGCCTATCAACACAGAGGCTATCTCAAACACCTTCCTGTATGTATGGTCTAAGTCCTCATGTGTGTATGACTTTGAGCGCTGAGACTGCTACAGAATTCAAAGAAATCTCACTGAAGGAGACTGCCTTTAACCTCAGCCCGCGAGACCTCCCGTCTAGCAGCACTTACCCAGCTTTACCTCCGTCTGCATTCTGAGAAACCTCCTGCTCGAGGTTTCTTCCCAGAACCTTCTGCTTCAGACCTATATGCTCCAATTCGTCCTCATCTTAAAAACCCACACTCTCCAGGAAGCACCCCCTTCTACTTACATCCTGTCCCTCCTCTGCCACAGTCAAACTTTCCCACTCATCACCTCCCAGACCTCTGACTCTGGATTGTTCCTTCTGGCAGCTCTCCACCTCCTGCTTGGGTTTTGTTTATCCATTTCTATAAGCTCCACTACCCTCTAAATGCTATGTACGCTTCTGTCTCCACGGCCAGAGCAGACTCCTTTGCTGGTTTATCCTATCATCATGCAAAGAAATCAATTGCTAATTGCTAATTTTTTATCTAATACTAGGTCCATTTTATTATTAAGTCAATATTTTCTGTTAGATGAAGATTATTAATTTTATTTTGATATATGCTTTTTGGTAATGGCCTTGAACTTTTGAAGACAGGAGTTAAAAATGTACAGACAGAAACTGGCATTTTAGTTTTAATAAAAAGACTCAATAAATACTAATGGCAATAAACTTGACCCAATACTAGATCAACAGACATAATCTTAGGGGAGAGGACAGAGACTACTTAAGTTACTTGCAATCACCTCCCATTCTGCCACAGTACTGGTAGGAGGAACAAAACCAGCTGGATGTCTTGGTGTAGTAAGTATAATGGAAACCATTTTACTAAGTGTAAAATAAGAAATAAAGAGATGATGTGGTGACACATGTCTTAAACTCAGCTCTTGGGAGGCAGAAACAAGCAAATGTTTATAAGTTCAAGGCCAGCCTTGTCTACATAGTGAGTTCTAGGCCATGTGAGACCTTCTCTCAAATAAGCAAAAAGAAAGAAGCTGACTTCTTTCACTATAGACAATTTGTCAGAGGTCACAAACATGTATACAGATCTATGAATCACCAACAAAATTCACAGTACTTAGATATGGTGGAACATCCCCAAAGATAGTTGAGAGGGATGGGATCGGAAAGCACTGGACATAAAAGCAGGACAACCTTTTAATTGATTACGCTTTTCCAAACGGAAGAAGGAGAGTGATAGTCCCAGCACTAGGTTGTGTCACTAACTTGGGCTGAGTCCTGGAGAAAGTCTGTAGGCCTTTCTGGAGTTACACTTCTCATAAACACAAACCAGTGGGGTCAGTGTACGTCAAGGGTCCCTCAGCCCTGATGCTCAATGTTTAATCAGGTACAGCTCAGCATACAAATCACAGGAACACTCCTTACTTAAGTGACTCCTTCTCAGACAGGCAACTGATGACCAACCACATGCTCTCCTACCCCAACTCTCAGGACACTGAACACTGCCAAGTACTGGATCCTAGTGCAGACAGCAGAGGTGAGGCTTTCTGATCACCTTCAGAATATGACAACAAGCACCACTTGAGGCACCTGCCCTTTACTTGGCAAATATTTTTAAATGAGATAAATACTACTATTTGTAGAGGAAACTTTGTTAACCTAGATTATCAATAGAACAGAGGAAAAATAAACACTACAGGAAGAGTTAGAAAAAGAAAAAAGGATAATGGCAACTTAAAATTTCCTTACCTTCTACTAGTTCTTTACAAATATAAAACACACACGTGCGCGCACACACATACAAGTATCTGAACATTTCTGTCTGTATGACAAATGACACATGACAGTACTGGAGCATCAACAAAACAGGTTGGACTATTGCAAACGAAAACAATCCCCACATAGTCATAGTAGAATGACACAGCCTATAATCCTAGCACTCAAAAGGCTGATCCAATAGAGTTGAGAATTTGGACCAACCTACGCGCATTGTACAGCCGGACTTAGAAAAAAAATCAAATAAAAATGAATGTGTAGGCCTATCCCATTTACCAATGAGCTAAGTAGACAAAGTAGTCAAATGGAGAGAGAATCGCTGAGGCTAGGGGGTATGTGCCAATTCCTTCTGCCACCTCTACAAACACTATCTGAACTATACATACACACTTTATGTCAGCCAAGACTAGGAACTGATGAAGAGGATGTTGCCTTCCTCAGCCATCACTTCAGTCCACTATGCTCCTGCCTATCAATTATTCAGTCAGGCCTAAAGCAGATGTCATATATTTCCAGTTCTTTCACTGGTCTCTTTCAGAAATGTTCATAAATTCTATGAACCCTATTAAAAGTAGTGTAGACCAGGCAGTTGCTCTGTGTTATTTCTGCTTCCCTGGGCAGTCCATCATCGGTCTGCTGATCTCTTGATCCTACACACACTGGGGCAGGAAGCACTGGTATCTCTTTGGCTCTCAGATCAAATGGAGTCATCCAGCTTGGCCAGATCCTGAGTTTCACCTGCCTCTGGACCAATCCATCCTGACCTCTTTCACTCGAATATCATAATGGCAAACCAACATTTAAACAGCACCTGCTGTAAGCCTCACCCTCCATACACAGTACCCCCTCCAGACAGTTCCTTCTTCCGACTCCTCCCTTCTATGTCAAGAGCTCTTGGAAGCCTTGTCCACAGTTGTTACCTCCACATCCTGATTCGTTCATTCCAAGTAGACTTCAATTCTTTAGGCCATTCTCAACCACTCACATCTTAAAAGAACCAAAGGTTAGCTGCTCCCGCTCACTTTCCTGGACATCTAGAACAACCTACTCTAGCTTTCCACTCAGCAAACTGGGCCTCCTTCCTCAGCAAATCTGGCTGGCTCTGTCTTCTAAGCATAAGTTCTCCCTCACAGCCACTCCATCCAGTCTGAGACGTTACATACAGTTGTTTGACACAATGATAGTCTAGATAGAGTTTTATCCCATTTCCACATTTCTATTTATCCCATAACTGTCAGATCTACCTGGCTTTCTCTCCACTAAGATATTCAACTCCTGTCTGTTTGTTTGTTTGTTTGTTTGTTTGTTTGTTTGTTGAGACAGGGTTTCTCTGTATCTCTAGCTGTCCTGGAACTCGATATGTAGACCAGCCTGGCCCTTGAATTCAGAGATCTGCCTGCCGCTGCCACCTGATTCTCTGATTCTGGGACTAAAGGTCTGCGCCAGCACCACCCAGCTTATTTCTGTCACTTTTGTAATGCCTACCACTCTCAAGCAAACCAAGAAGAAGGGGGCAGAGAAGGAAGCTTAAAAACACAACTCTTAACTGGAAAACAGATCAAAACTTTTAGGACAAAGCTAAGAAAATTTTTTTCTAAAAATGTAAAGTTAATTTGATATAATTTGCAAATTTTTCAGTAATTAAAACTAATTTGCCAAGTCTACTTTAATTCTACATTTGCAGCATTTAATAAAAAAGACTTACCCTGAAGAGCAACCCTGCCAAGCTCTGGGCAAACAAGTCCTTTCCATGCTTATCCTTTGGCTTCTGCATGACAGCTTCTGTTATCCTGAGAAGGATTTGCAACATCTGCTCCCTGGGCCACCAAAATAAAAGCTCATATTAATAATCACATTTCCAAAGCACTTTGTAGGTATGAGATCTCTGCAATCAGCAATACATATTATTTGGAAGTGTTAAGCGTCTAGGTTCCAGTTAGAGAATAAGCATTTTATCAACATAAATTACTTGGTGTTACCACAGTTCTACAACATGCTTTCCACATCAGTGCCAACTGGCAGGATGATATCTTCCAGACATCTTCCCAGCCTGACTTTTCTCCTTGCAGAAAGGAGGGTAAGATGGTTTTCTCCAGTTGAACCAGCACATCTGGGCACTCACTGAGGGACTAGGTGAGCCGGTCTGAACTTATATGGTACCCGGGTATTCTCTATCACTACGTTACTTAACCTAGGTAGCTTCCCATCTACGTTTGTGATAGAAAACAAAACTAGCTCTCTGGGCTTTAATATGAGGACATAGGCAGTCAATACCACTGCCTGACAGTGGTTGCTGCAGAAGATATGGGTTTGGAAAGGTCAGGACTGAACGTTGATGGGCAGAGCATTTGTGCCTGGCAGATCCTGCTTATACCAATAGTGCACACCTGGGCTGGCTGCAGTCACCATAGCTCAGTCACCATGTGCTACTGTAGTCGTACAGAAGAGGGCTTTACATAATAGGCTTAAAGAATTAGCATAGTACTGCTAATTGTGACAGTCAGTGTTTAAAACTGCAGTGGGTCATTTTTTTTCTCTCTCTTATACGGCCAAGTTGTATTTTCTCATACTCTTGAACTTTGTGGGGATGGAGAACACACTATCTTTTGTAGAGAGAGGAAGTCCACTCATTCTAAGGCAATCACTCTGGCTCCTGTAAGGTTTTGAGCTCTGTTTGTTTACCTTCACTACTTTCTTCTTGCTCTTCCTACTCTCTAGTGAAAAACAAAGAATACGACAAAGCAATGTGGTCTAGATCAGACAGCGAGAGCTGTAGGAGGTGGTTTCTTTTCTCCTGTCTCTGTACAGTAGACAGATGATTGGCTCTGGGTTCTCTCGGTATCTGGCTCCATTGGGCTTTAGTCCCGGGGTTAATTGTTTGGTAACATCCATTCTCACAGCACTCTCTTCCATCTGGCTACTTGTTTTGCACTATCAGAGATTTGAAATATGGAGGAAGAAGACAAATGTTCCACCTGATCTAGACATGTGTGCACAGTGCAGGACAGAAAGTCTGAGAAGAAAAAGTGGGAAAAGAAATGACAGAGCTGGAAGCATCTTGCCCCACTCACAGCCAGCATATCCAGGCCCCTGTCACACTGGGGCTTTGGATATTTAGTAGTGCACTGCTGTGTGCTCACAGTAGATGCTCCGGCAGCAACTACCAAATGGAAAGAAAAGAAAGAGAGGTGGGGAGGGAAAGAGGAAGAAAGGAGAGGAGGACAAAGGGGAGGGGAAGCATGGAGCATTTGAATTTAAATATGTAGAAAGTCCAGGCAGCAAACTGTGCCCCCTTTCTATGATCTACCATGTTTACTTAGTTACTGTTATTATTTATTTCCACAATTGTCTTTTTATTCTTTTATCAGAAATCTTTAAATTACTAAAGAAAAAAAAAACAGTTGATTTATTTTACTTCCTAGAATTATAAAAACTATAATACTGTGCAATGTATACAGAAATCATAGCTTTCTAAAGAAAGTAACAGAAAATACTCTTCACACAGCTGTGGTACAAGGAGCATCATCCAGCTGTGAAAGCACTTCTCATGGGGTCGTTCTGACTGCTGTGATAGGGGACTGAGTTTTCATCACATTGTGCACTGCTGTAATATTTCCAAATTAAGCACTTGGTAGAAATACTAATTTAAAAGACAGGAAAGGCGACCTTGTAATTTATCCTTTCAAATCCCCATTTTGATACATGTAGTGTAATACTTGTGAACTTGCTGCAAGGTACAATTCTTCTGGGCCCACCCTTGTCTCCTCTCAGTGGCCTGTAGCCTCTGACAGCTCACTCTTGCCTTAATTTTAGGGCTTCTCACCCAATGTGGATGGACACCTTGTACAACACCAATAGTGCTGGCTCTAGGACACCTCTAAGACAGGTGTGGTACGGGGAAAAGTCCCAATACAGAAGGATGTCACTGACACAGGACCTCAGTGGCACATTGCAGGTGAACACACCTAGGGCAGACCTGAGAGGCTGCAGGTGAAGACATTGGGAATGAGGGAAGCATGGCTCAGGGCTTCTGCTCTATCACTGAAAACACTGAGGGCAATGTGGACACTACAGGACACAGGATAGAAAAGCTTAACAAAGAATTTTCAATGGAAGAAACTCGAACGGCCGAGAAGCACCTAAAGAAATGTTCAGCATCCTTAGTCGTCAGGGAAATGCAAATCAAAACAACCCTGAGATTCCATCTCACACCAGTCAGAATGGCTAAGATTAAAAACTCAGGTGATAGTAGATGCTGGCGAGGGTGTGGAGAAAGAGGAACACTCCTCCATTGTTGGTGGGACTGCAAGATGGTGCAACCACTTTGGAAATCAGTGTGGCGGTTCCTCAGAAAATTGGACATAGCATTACCCGAGGATCCAGCTATACTACTCCTAGGCGTATATCCAGAAGATGCCCGAACATATAACAAGGACATATGCTCAACTATGTTCATAGCAGCCTTATTTATAATAGCCAGGAGCTGGAAAGAACCCAGATGTCCTTCAACTGAGGAATGGATTCAAAAAATGTGGTATATTTACACAATGGAGTATTACTCAGCTATTAAAAACAATGAATTCGAGAGGTTCCTAGGTAAATGGATGGAACTAGAAATTATCATCCTGAGTGAGGTAAGCCAATCACAAAAGAACACACATGGTATTCACTCACTGATTATTGGATATTAGCCCAGAACCTTGAAATGCCCAAGATGCAACTCACAGGCCACATGAAGCTCATAAAGAAGGAAGACTAAGTGGGGGTGATTCGGTCCTTCTTAGAAGGAACAACAAAATACTCAAGGGAGCAAATATGGAGACAAAGTGAGGGACAGAAACTGAAGGAGGGGCCGTCTCAAGACCACCCCACCTGAGTATCTATCCCATGTGCAGTCACCAAAGGTAGATGCTGATGTGGAAGACAGGAAGTGCATGCTGATAAGAGCCTGATATGGATGTCTCCTCAGATGTCTTCAAGAGTCTGACATATTCAGAGGCAGATGCTCACAACTAGCCATTGAACTGATCATGGGGTTCTCAATGAAGGAGTTAGAGTGAAGACTGAAGGAGCTGAAAGGATTTGTGGCACCATGAGGAGAGCAACAATACCAACCAACCACAGCTCCCAGGGTCTAAACCACCAGCCTGGGAGCACTTAGGGAGGGATCCAGGGCTTTAGCTGAATATGTAAGAGTGGAGGGCCCTGCTGGGCATAGGTGGAAGAAGAGAACCTTGACCTCATTAAGGCTGGACGCCCCAGGGGGTGGGAATTTTGAGGGTGGGGAGGTGGGAGTGGAGGGGTAGATAGAGGCTACATCCACAGAGAAGAAGGAGGAGGGGTGAGGGGATAGGGGGTTCCTGGGTGGGTGGGGGATGGGGTAAGGGGACAACATATGAAATGTAAATAAAACATCCAATAAAAAAAAAAGGAAAAAAAATAAAGTGAGATGTGGAACTTAAAAAAAAAAGAAAAGAAAACATCTAACATTTTACCTCTGAGCACACAATTAATAGCAAAAAAGCAAAGAAAAAACAGGAAGGAAAACTCAGGATACACTTTTGACTGTACTTTTCTGTCACTTTGACTACATATTATTTTAAAAACTAGTTTTTCCAAAGTGGATTCAAAATAACAAGTTGAAGGGATAGAATTCAAGTTTATAGCACTTCAGGACAACTATCAAACTTGCTCTGAAGAATTATATTGTAAAGCACATACCACATATCATAAAACTCGCTGATAAAAGTTTGAAATGGAAAATCCACTACTGAGTAATGTAACACCAACACCTGTACATGAGCAGTTTTAAAAACAATAATGAAAAAACTAATTACCCAAGTGCTGGGTACTTCCCTTTGCCACATTTCACAGAAGCTGCCCCAAGGGGCTGATGCTCACCTTACTGCCAGTTTTGAAAAGACATTCGATAACTGGAAACCTTAACTCTTTACTTATACTGAAAAGCAAAGGCGGCTGTTGTAGGATGTCAAGCTGAAGCAAACTCACCACGTCTTCTGATTCATTGTAAGTTCCATGATCATTCGCCGAAAAACAATGAGAACAGCTTTACAGGCATCGACGTGTTCTCTCAGGAGCAAGGGAACGTCGGCACAGGGCTCCAGCAAGAAGACATTTGCAGCATTTGTAAGGAAGACCTTAAAGCCAACAATTTTACATTAGAAGATACAATTAACCATATGCATCTGAGAAGATTTTGCCTACAGATAATATTACCTTCCTTCTACCAGTGAATCCTTTTGGGTTACTTCCACAGACTACTTCAATACAGCAAACGGCACCAATACATGTTCCAGGTACTATGGCTCACCCCTTAGGATTGCCTAGGTATGCATCTAGAAGACCTTTCTCTGCTAGTCCATATAAACAGTGTCACTTTAGCCATGAATCATGAAATATTGGAATTTGTTATATCGTTCAACAGTAACAACAAAACAACAATAATTAAAAATAACAAAACCTAAGACCACTGTATCAAGGGTGACAAGGTCTAGGATACAAAAGTCACAGAAGAGGCCTGTGGCTAGACAATAGAGCTAGAATTCTTTTTCCAAAGTAAATTTAAGACGGCAAGTTGGAAGAATAAGAGTCAATTTATAGGAAACCCATGTGGTGCTGACAGAAGCTCACAGCACAGCACATGAACTCTGCTTCCTGGTGGAACAGTGTTAGTGTCCTTGAGCGGTAAGAACTGAGATCGGTGTACCTGGAAACACACAGTGCCACATGGTCAGGTTGCATCTTCTAGAATCAGGCCTTTTTTTTTTGGCATGTGCATGTCTATCTGGGATGTGTGTGTGTGTGTGTGTTTGTGGGTGTGTGTGCACACTGCTGAGGAAGTGGGGGCTGAACATATGGGCATGTGCATATGGAGACCTGAGAAGAAGTTGACATCAGGTATCTTCCTCAATCCCTCTCCATCTTATACAGTGAAGCAGGGTCTCTGTCTGAACTCAGAGCTCAGTTTTTCCTTGTCTGTCCAGCTAAATTACTTCAGGGATTTCCCATCTCTGTCTCTCTAGCACCACAATTATAGGTGGGCTTGGCAGCCCACCTGGCTTCTAGAAACTCCAATCTTCACACAATGTAGTTTTAACAACTGAGCCATCTCTCCAAGCCCAGGGCTTTTTTTAATAGAAGAAATCTATTATGTAAACAATAGTCTCAGCAAATTCTTAAGGTAAAAGCATGTTACAAGAGTCAGCTGGCTACTCTATGCTCAGCCCCAGATCTCTGAGGTCCAAGGTCTTTGTTCTGTGGCAGTACAGCTGACTTAGGTCCTCAGAGAGTGAATTACTACAGTGAAAGAACATGGTAGCACTCATAAAGTTAAGAGCACTGACTACTCTTCCAAAAGACTTAGATTCCCAGCGCCCACATGGGGTCTCACAACTATCTGCAACTCCAGTTTCAGATAATCCAGGGCCCTTTTCTGGCTTCCTTTGGGTACCAGCCATGCTTGTGGTGCACAGGTATACAGTTAACCAAAAGGCCTGTACACATAAAATAAGATAAAATCACATAAATCAGATGAGTTCTATCTGTACACATACCCTTTTGTAGGTGTCCTTTAAACAGTACAAGAACTGAAACTGTAGGAACAAATCCAGTTTCTCTGGATTTTCAGTGCACAAAATTCCAAATAAAATTCATAGGCTGACCAGACAGGTTCAAATCAACATACTCAAAAAATTGATAACAACTCTGAAGACTTAACCTTTATAAAATGAATGTCCCAATTTTTTTTTGTTTGTTTGTTTGTTTTTGGTTTTTTCAAGACAGGGTTTCTCTGTGTAGCCCTGGCTGTCCTGGAACTCACTCTGTAGACCAGGCTGGCCTCGAACTCAGAAATCCGCCTGCCTCTGCCTCCCAAGTGCTGGGATTAAAGGCATGAGCCACCACCACCCGGCTTGAATGTCCCAATTTTATAGAAAAAAAATCACCAACAATCACTACCAGATAAAAATGACAACGTGAATTTGGATAAGAAAAAGAGGACAAGGAATTTTCTAGTTAAAAAATTATAGCAGCTTCAGCAACAATGTTTTTACAGGAGTAAAGCACAAATAACATAACACAATGCCTTTTAATTTCATGTGTTGTTTTCTTGAATTTGAAAATTCTGCCCATTCCCAATTAAAAGTCTTCATATACTATACTTTTACTTTTAATAATAGCTTCAAAATACCAACACAGGAATACTGTATTGGCTTTGGTTAAGGTAAAACAAACAATCAAAATTATTATGTCCAAACTGCACTCATCCTAAGCAGCAGTAAAAAATGCTATCTTACCAGACTCCCACCTAGCCTCTTTCCCCACGGGCAACCACTCAAGAGACAAGTTACTGAATTCAATGAGAACAAAAACAATTTAAATCCTGTTGCTTTTCAAGCTGTAGAGCTGCAGGATGACTGCAGTCCATTTGCAAGGAGAGGGCTACAGGACACAAGGACCCTCCAAGTATCTGTGTCAAGGTCACAGGCTATAAATAGGAGCTGCAGCCAGTTTCTGATTTACTTGAGTAAAATCATCTTTACTTTCTTTAAGATTTCTCTCTCTCTCTTTCTCTCCCCCTCCCCCCCCGGTCCCGCCCTCCCCCCTCTCTGTGTGTGTGTGTGTGTGTATGTGTGCATGCGCGCGCGTGCGCACACGCGCATGTGTGGTAATCCAAGTAACTATTCGGATGTACTTGGAAGATACTTTCAGGTACAAATCATATACATTTCACAGTCACTGTAAAATAATCCTCAAAAAGCCTGCAACCAGTTTCATGTCTTTTTTAATTAGAAAAAAATATTTTCCATTTGTAAGTGGAAAGAGAAACTTAGAACTTAAGGCCTCTTTAGTACCTGATGCTCAAACCACCAGTACATCTCATATGACATCATTCTAAGTAAACAAAATATTCACAATGTCTTCTCCACCTGCCCGTCTCTGTGTCCCCAGTGGCAGCATACCTGCAACATAGCTTGGGCCCCGGCTTTCACATTTGTGTTGTCCTCGTCTGTCACACACCCTCTGCTCATGGCACTTGTGAAGGAATACGTGCGTCCCCAACTGGATGACCGTTTATGACCAGAGCTTTCAGATGAGGCCTTCAGAAGATAATAATCCATTAATCAAGTAGGGAGAAGCCTACGTTTACACACTCAGTTCCTTCACTCTGCTCAGCACTCAACCCCCAGAGTCCAAGGTGGTCTCAGCCGTAGTATGTACTGGAAGAGCCAAGTCGGCCTGATGCTGGGACACAGAAAGCAGGCCTCTACACGTACAAATTCTACTTGCTTATTGATTGATCTGACTTCATAGCTAGCTACTAAAATGCTTTCACCAATATTGAAACATCAAAAAAAATCAGTACAAACATTTAAGTTTTAAGTCTGTGGCTAAAAGTTTTAAATATTGTAAATTAATCTAATCAGAAACATAAATATAATTTTGGTTTCTTTTATTCTTGGGATGTTTTGTGCAGTCACTTTACATTCATTCATGCCTGAGTTTGGAAGAGGACAGTGCCTCCTGCAGGAAGGCTACACTTAGTGCTGCTGACACACCAGAAACGCTCACTCTTTACTTAGCTAATCTTTTCAAATATTTAATACAGATAGATGTCTTCTGCACAGTTAAATGCAAATGACAAGTATGGAAAAATATTTTATGTTTAATTTTTCCAACAACTATTTATTTAAATGAATCAAGGAGAGGCCATCGGCTTTTCAGTCTCATCGAGAGAATTGTAAAATGGGAGAAAGCAGCTGTCTTGCAACAGTGTCTAAGAAAGTAGCCTTGTGTGTGTGTGTGTGGGTGTGTATCCCTAAGTTAATTGTAAAGGAGACAACTGCCCACCAAAGATGGAGAATGAACACTGCTTCTCTTAGGCAGGTTCTCTCCAAATCTAACAGCCTGAGAGTGTCACCTAAGGGCCTGTCTTCATGGGCAGGGTAGGACCTGAGCTGGTCTATTTTACCAAGTTGTATGTACCCTCAATTCAGAGGCCAAGTGATAGTGTTACCTCCTTGGAGTCAGTCTCTGAAAATCCTAATTTTTCGGCATCTTCTTGACCAACATCCTTTTTATCTGGTTCCTCCATGAACACAGGTTTGTTCTGGAGGATCCATTTCCTGTACACTTGAACTACTTTTCTTGTTACAGATATCTCACAGGAAGGCAACAAAAATGCCTGAAAAAAAAAAACCTCTTTAATGCCACGTAAGCTCAGATAACAGACATTTTCATTATCCACTTCAGAAACATTTAACTTGTACAGAGACCACAGACACACTTTTGCACACACTTATTTGAAGAAAGAAGAGACATCGTCATAATTAGCCTAGAAAAATAATGAAGACTCATAGATCTTTCTATCTTCCAGGTAGGTATATAAAATAATTATAACTAAACTTGCAAGTTTTCTCAAAACCCATCAGAAACGGTTTGTAAAGCAATAGACAGGCTGAGGTGGGAACATGAGCTGCTGCATTTATCTGCGCTCAGGTGAGCAATGCTGGGGTTGGAACTGGCCTGCTTGGGTAGAAGCTGGAGGCTGTTAAAAGCACGGCCTCTTCTTGCTTTTTGGGCCTTTTTCTTCTGCTTCCCTCATCTTCCTTCCATCCCACCTTTGTTAGTTCCTCCCTACTTCCTTCTCTGACAGTTTTCTACATTTATCAGAACACCAAGTACAGCCACAAATGTTAACCAGACCAGCCACTTGTGTTGGGAGCCGACTCCTAGCCGACTCCTATCATCTTTGCAGCCATCTCAGGCCATAGACCCTGACAAGAGACTTGTTTTCAACAGCCCGCAACAACTGAGCACACTCTGACAAACATCTTGTTTTTCTCACATATCTTGTTTTGCTGTTTAGTGCCGCCAGCTGCAAGGCGCACGTGATATCCACGCTGCTGGGTGCACGTGGTCTCCTCACAGCTAGCTAGGTGCACGTGATATCCACGCTGCTGGGTGCACGTGGTCTCCTCACAGCTAGCTAGGTGCACGTGATCTCCTCACAGCTAGCTAGGTGCACGTGGCCTACACGCTGCTAGCTAGGTGCACGTGATATCCACGCTGCAAGGCACATGACGTAGCGCCTTCAGCTGTGCTTGTCCACGAGGGCAAGGCACGTGGTAAAGGGTATAAATACCCAGGAGTTCCTTCCAATAAAGAGACTTGATCAGACTCCCTGTCTTGTCTCCATTCTTCGAGTCTCTGCCCCCACTCTCTCTCTTGCTAGGCCCTGACCTGCGGACCGGAGCAGCAGAACGGGCGGTTACAAAGTGCCCCCCCCCCAACGTGAGGCAGCTCGGGTGGCTACAACTTGTAACACTGTGCACATTTGTCAGAACTTAAAAAAAACAAAACAAACAACAATAACAACAACAACCACAACAATACCCTTATGTGTATAGTGCACAGGCCAGAGGTCAACATTGGTTGTCTTTTTCAATTGTTTCACCTTCTTATTTTTATTAAAAAAGATCTCTCACTCGATTTAAGCCCTGGCTATTTGGCTAGACTAGCTGATTAAGAAACCACAGAGGTCTTCCTATGTCCACCTCCCAGCTAGAAACACACACAGCACAGGGTATGTTTAACTACATGGGTACCGGGGATCTGAGCACTTTACTAAATAAGTCATCTCTTAGCCAATGAAATTTTTAATATTAAGGAATTTACTTACGTATTCGTGATTTAATGTGATAAGACTAT